GGAGGTCAGTAGAAGGTATTGGATCCCCTGGAATTGAAGTTACAGATGGTTGTGAGCCACCTTATATGTAGGTGCTAGAAACCAAAACTGGGTTCTTTGCATGAGCAATAAATTCTCTTGCCCTCTAAGCCATCTCCCCACCCCCTTTTTAGGAGCAGGTCTCTGAGCCATGTTTCTGACTTCCATTTAGTGAAACGTTCTTACAGTGCAATAGGTGAAGAGGGTAGGAAATGGCACCAGAAGACATAGAGATGGAGTTCTTCTCCACCGCATTGCCTTGGGAACGAGCTGGGGATCCCATCCCAGCTGCCAGGGACTTCCTCATTGTGTGGAAGCTTACCTCCTACAGTGAGGCTCAGACCTTAGTCAGGAGAGATGTTACACATGGCCAGTGGTAGTGCCCCGTTCTAGTTTCATTCCTGTTACTGTGATAAAAACACCCTAAACAAAAGCCTGGTAGGGAAGAAAAGGTTTGTCTTAGTTTATAATCCCAGGTTACAGAGAAGTCAAAGCATGGACTTCCTTGAGTGCCCATTGCTAGACCCAGGCCCCAGTGCTGCCTGCTCCCTACTGTTCCTCAGCAGGCTTTGTCTACTCTTACACAGTTCAGGGCCCAGCACTGACACAGAGACACATATCCAGGGTCTTCCCACCTCAGTTAATTATCAAGGCCATCTCCCACAGACATGCCCACAGGCCACCTCAGTTCTTCAACTGAGAGTCTCTTCCCAGTGAGGGTTGTTGCAAGTTTAAACTAACCACCACATCCCTTCATCACACTGGAATACCTTCTAGGCCAGGCTGGTTTTGAAAGAACTTGTGTTGTATAAATATTCCTTGTTTTAATTCTAAGTTTATGTGGATCTTTTTAAGTTTAAAGCCTTTCTAAGCATTAACTCACTCTCACCTTCCTGTTTACAATGGTTCTCTAAAGTCAGCAGAGTTCATTGAGCTACATTGAGATGTAAGATAGTTAGTGCTTTGTGTCTTGAAAGCCCCTGGCAAGACGTCCCAGGGTAAGCTCATTTGCCTTCCTGACAGTCTTGTGAGAATGCTGTCAGTAGGCTATCTGAATTTCAGCAAGGGGCCGGATGAAGCTCCCCTGATGTTCTTGTAGATGAAGCCCTCAGAGCAGATATAACTATGGGTGACTAGAGCCAGAGAGAAACTGCTCAGACCTGAGCAGAATAGGAGGCGGGTGCAAACACTCACAGCAGATCTCTGTCTCCTGCCTGGCCTAGTGAGGTTGTTAGTTACTATCTGGTTGTGATACTTACACCATTCTGTGACATTGAGGTCACCCAACCTTTGTTAGGTGACAGACATGTTGTATGAAGAATTGGGTCCTAGGATAGACCTAATGCTCCCCTAAGTTGGCCCCAGATTCTTTACCGAATTCGTTCTTAAGCCATTTTTTCCCCTATCCATTCCATCTTAGTCCATTTTTCTGCTGTTATAAAAAAGAACACCACAATCTGGGTGCATTAGAACTGATGGAAGTTTGTTTAACTTACTGTACCAGACAGAGGCTTAGAAGTCCAGAACTGGGGGTGGGGTTGGGAGTAGAGCTCCCTATCCTTTAACTTTCAATACAGGAGACTTAAAAGTCCAAAGCTGGTGGTGGTGGCTATGGGGGTAGGGAGTGTCCCAGTCCCTCTGACATGACAGGACAAGTGAGCATTCACAAAACCAAAAGAACAAGAGAAAGTCCAATTTATAAATAACACACTTAGCCCTTGTGACCTAATCGCCTCTGAAAAGTTCTCTTAATTCAGCCATGGTGGTGCACACCTATGATCCCAGCACAGGGGAGCTACAGCAGGAGGATTACCCTGAATCCCAGACCAGTGTGGGCTCCAGAAAGAGACAATGTCTGAAAGAGCAAAGACGGCAAGTGGACTTCTTGATGCCATTCCAGTGGCAATCCCACTTCAACAGATGTTTGAGAGGAAACATTCAAATCATATAACTTTTTCTTTGAGGCCTTACAATTCCCTTCTGGACTACTGGGGGTGGGGGTGGTCTCTTAGTTAGGGTTTCTATTGCTGTGAGGAGACACAGTGACAACAGCAACTCTTATAAAGGAAAGCATTTAATTGCAGTGGTTTGCATACAGTTCAGAGGTTTAGTTCATTATCATCGTGGTGGGACATGGCAACATGTAGGTAGACGTGGTGCTGGTGAAGTAGCTGAGAGTTCTCCGCTTTGCAGGCAACAGGAAGTGATCTGAAAAACTGGGTGTGCCTTGAGCATATGTGAGACCTCAAAGCCTGCCTCCATAGTGACACACTTCCTCCAGCAAGGCCACACCTACTCCAACAAAACCACACCTCCTGACAGTGCCGCTGCCTTTGGGAGCCATTTTCTTTAAAACCACTGCAAGGGTTCTTTCTTTGTGGCTTTCCTTGAACTGATCTACCTCCTGAGTGCTGAGATTATAGGCATGGGATACTGTGGAAGTCTTTTCCCTGGTTTCCCTGCTGTAATACTGCCCCCTCAGCAATAAAAAGATTTCAGTGAGCAAGGTCTCCTTCCTGACCGTTAAAATAACCTCTCGGCAGGTGTGGCAGCACACACCTGCAAGCACTTCGGAACTTGAGGGTAGAGGATCACAAGCTAACCTGCAGCCAGAACTTTAAGCAGCTTGAACAGGAAGACCAAGAAGGAGTTCAGGGTCGTCCTTGGGTAAGCAGGGAATCTAAGGCTGGTGGAGACCTTTTTTTCAAGAAACATTAGATAGGACTGGAGAAATGTCTTGGTAGTTAAGAGTACTTAACTACCTGCAGAGGACCTGGGTTCGACACCTACATGGTGGCTCACAACCATCTGTAACACCAGTTCCAGGAGATCCAGCACCCTTTTCTGACCTCTGTAAACACTGTATACATGTGGTGCACAAACATGCAGTCAAAACACTCATACACATAAAATTAAAATATTTTTAAATGAACAATAGACAGATAGGTAACCAGCTCCCCAGTGGTATTCTCTTACCTACAGAATATGTACATTCTTTTTCACGGTCTTCTTACCAGTGATAAGAGTTTGGGCCTATTTCTGTCCTTTGGATGTATTTATTTTTATTTTTTTATTTTATGTATATCAGTGTGTACAGCACATTGTGTCCAGTGCCTGCAGAAGCTGAACTAAACACAGTTGAAAGCTACCACGTGAGGGCAGGAACTGAACCCGGGTCTGCTCTAAGGCCATTGCTCTTAACCACTGAGCCATCTCTCCAGCCTCCATTCTTGGCCTCTTAGCCAAAGAATTGGAAATAAGGACTCCGGAAAATTTGCAATAGCAGAGTAACTTTACTTGGAGCAAAGCAATAGTGCAGGTTATAGAGAGAGACACTGTCAGGTTGACAGTGGGCTGCATGGGTAAGGGTACCGAAGAGCCTCAAGCCACACCCTGGAGTCTCTTCATATGGGATCTTGAGGAAGGACGAGTTAGTTACTCGGGCAAGTGGTTTGGATCTTCTCTATTTTGGTTGACAGATTAGGTCATACATCCATGTTTCTCCTGGTGAGCATGTCTCCTCAGTTATGTATTGATGTTAATCTTGTGTACACCAATTGTGATCAGCCTAAGAATGGTAAATAGGGTATTCTCCCTAAGAGTTTACTATAAGACATCATTCTGCCTTACTTCACACATACACTAAAGCCAGTTCGTGGCTAATCAACCTTCCTATTCTTCATTTCTTGATATATTGTCAGTACACTTGAATAGAAACTGTCTAAATTTGGGCGTCACTAGGGCCTGGGAAATTTACAGAAATGGGAGTGCATGTAGCCTGATGCAGGAGGAAGTTCATTGGGTTGAGAAGCTGAGGTTTTAGGTACATGGTTTGAAGGGGAAGTGTGCATAGTACATGCTGGTTAAGGAAGTAGGCTGTCAAGTACATTGTTACAAGAGGGAATGTGTGTAACCCAAAACTAGGTTGTATTCCAGAGTGCTGAACTGTCTCCTATGCCTGCCCTGGTCTGGGAGGACCTCACATCCTAGCCATCTTCTTTTCTTGCCTCATAGCGTTCTTCCTCACTTCACAGTCTGTATTCTAGTGAAGCAGACAGCCTGTAACTCCCCATGAGGTCACTTTGCTCAGGTGACCTGGTTCCCTAGGCTTTGATGGGCCCACCACTTTCTGGCCTTTTCCCCTTTGTTTGCACCATTATCTGGGAGTCATGAGTCATTCATGTCTCTGTCTCAGAGATGACAGCCATTCCCTTAAGGGCAGTGTTCCTATTCCATTTAATACTTAGCACGTAGGAAGCAGGCAAGATGGTTTGGATCAGAACTAAAACTACATTTTAAAATTCTCCACAACCGAAAGGGTTTAAACCCAACAGAGGAAACAAGTTGACCTAAGTTCCAAGTACAAGGCAGCTCCCCTCTCAGTAGTCATGAGAGGAGGGAGGCTGTGCATCAGAATCCAACAGGAAGGCCAGTAACCTGGTGTGCAGAGCAAGTGGGGGGGGGGGGCTGACCAGTGGCCCTGACGGGTGGATAATGCAGGGCTTAAGACCATGCTGTGGTCCAAGTTAAGAGAGGGTGACGTCAGCCTGTAGAGCACAGCTGGGACAGGAAGAGGAGCCCCATCATGATGAAGAAAACGGAGGGCTTATAATAATGGTGAGCACACACCTACAGGGCTCTCATCAGGAAGGCAGAATTAGGCCAGTGAGTGGAGTTCTGGAAAAATCATTGTGACAGTTAGTTGTACTAGCAGTGACATGTGCTTCAGGTGACTACAGGATCCACCCCAGAGCCTCGGGTGCTTGACAGGGACCCGAGTCCTGTAGAAAGTCCGGACATTTCCCTTGGGCACTTCTGAGGCTTCTGGAGCAGGAGGTTGCTGGTTTACATCTGTTGAGCCTCTAGTAGAGGTGCAGGAGTTTCTTTTGTGTGATACCTCCCATTTTTCTGTACCCTTTCCTAGAAAACCAAATGAAAATATTACTTCTTTCTCTTTGTTTGTCTCTTTGCTTGCTTTCTAGCTCTACAGAGCCTTGGCCTCCAGGAAGATGTGAGAAGAATTGTCTTGGGATCAGAGCTGGTTACAGGGTTCCCCTGGACCTTCAAGGTGCCAGGCCTGCCACAGTACCTGCAGAGCCTTACCAAACTAGCCATCCCTGAAGTGTGGGCATCACTGGCTGAGGCGGAAGGACAAGCGATTGCCATTCCTCTCTCCTTCTCTCGGCTTCTGGAGTCTTCCTTTCCTGAAGTGCGCTTGTTAACCCTGGATACCCTGCTGGAAAGGGTAATGTCCTCTGAACTGGAAGAGAAGGGGCCGCCTCCCTTGCTGTGTAGTATGGGAGAAGACTTCCTACTGTTGGCAATGAAGGAAAACCACCCAGGATGCTTCTGCCAGGTAGGGTCTCTGCTGTACTGGCACTCCTGTGTCCCACCTTCATGTGGAAACCACCAGGAAGATACACATGAGGACAGTGAGTCAGACTTGTGCCATCTGGGGCAACAGGCAGTAGCTTAGCATCCCTGAGACCAGGGCCCTGTATGTTGCTTGGCTTTACATATACAAGAGCCCTAAGAGGTCGGTGGTACTGCTTATAAAGATTCATCAGTTATAGGTCAAGCTACTCTGTCTTTAGGAGAGATCATTGAGAATGAGCTGTGGGGGTGGAGAGCTAGCACAGTGGACGGTGCTTGCCACACAAGCATGAGGACCCCTGCAAACGTCAGCTAAGTATGGCAGCCCACCTGTAATGCAAGCACTCAGAGGGTGAAGATGGGATCCCTAGGGAAAGCTAGACCACCCAAAAAGCAGGAAGCTCCAAGTGCAGTGAGAGGACTGCAGGATGATCAAAGAAAACAACCAAAGTCACTTCTGGCCTCCATTCTGGCACATCTCAGAGGTTATCTTGACTGGCACGCCTAATTACAGGTAGATGGCTACCTGGGAAGCCTGGTCAGAACAAAAAGTGAGATTTCCAGCCTTGACATCTCAGATATTTAGGAGGCTGGGTCTATCTAGACTACAGAGTGAGCTCAAAGCTAACCAGAGTACTTAGTGCGACTCTGTCCCAAAACTAAAAAGTGAAAATGGAAGGAAATCTGGCTCAGTCTAGCATATGTGAGACTATATAGGCTTCTAGTTCTGATTTTAGGTCGCCAGAGACCCGCAAGCTTGTCATTGCTCTTCCCTGCCTCAGTTTCTCCAAGATGTGACAGAGGAAATAAGAAATCAGTGGACTTTAGGGGCCTTTTGAAAATAGATTCCCTTCCTTGTTGTTGTAAACCATCTTGACTTAGGACCACAAAAGTTTTCTCAGGGTGTTTCTTTATCTTGTTTTCTTGGATTTGACTAACAGGTCCTGAAGATTCTCTATCATATGAACCCCAGTGAATGGCTTTCCCAGACAGAGCACTGTGTTCACCTCTCCCCAAAAGAGTTCCTGATCTGGACTATGGATATTGCTTCCAAAGACAGGTTTGCCCCAGGGCTTCTGTGCAGTCTTGGTGGATGCTATGACCCATCCATTCACCTTGTGGGGACCCTACTCACTGTCCTCCCCTAATGGCTCCAGTACTGAGTTTCTAAGCCTCAGCCTAGCAGCTGTGTTCTAAACCCCAGTAATAACATTGTCAAGTTTTCACATAATAACCAGAGGGTACAGGAAATTGTACAATCAGGCAAAGAATTAATGTCTACAAAGTTGCAGACTACCTACATAAACATTTCTACAAAAAATATATTAAATGCAGCTCGTTTGGTTGAGTGCATATCTAGCATCAGCAAAGCTCTGACCTTGATTCTCAGCATCACAAAAGCCAGTATGGCAGCACATGCCTATAATCCCAACACAGAAGAGGTGGAGGTTAGAGGGTCAGAAGTTCAAGGTCAGCATTGCCTACATAGTGAATTCTCAGATGCTTGACTTGTGTGTATGGTAACTGTTGAGGGTGTGTGTGTGTTAATTTTCTTTCCTTTTCCAGATCTGAAATCCAGAGTGTAGCTCTGAAGCTTGCCTCCAAACTAATTGCCCACCACGTGCAGACATGTGAGGAGGTGAGGCTAACTCTGTCCCTGCCCTGCGGGTGGTGGTGAAAGGTAACTGTCCCAGTGGGCAGAATCACAGTGACTCAACTACGGTGGCCTGGCATGTCTCAGTCCCAAACCACGGTAGCCATGAGGTTTGGCCTGAGTGGAAGAGCGTGGACTTGGAAACTCCTAGCAACCCAACAGCGATAAAGACCAAACACAGGCATCTTGTCATCTTTAGAGAGCTCTCAGTTCCATGCTGCAAAACTGGATTCTCTTCTTTATTCAGCATCTTCCTGGCTGTTTCTTAACAGTGCTTCCCTGGCCACGAGGCCATTTCTCTCTCCTCCAATTGACCCCTCTGCCTGGTACCTCCTAACTCTTTGTGACCTCACTTGTCCTGTACACCTAGCCCTCTGCCCTGGTGCAGCACTGTTCAAATGCTTAGTTCTGTAGAGATGCAAGCTAGGAGGCATTCTTCACTGAGGCTATGCCATTCAATAGCAGATTAGCTAGCATCTGCAATACAGTTGTAGATTACTCGAACCAAAGATTTGGACCTCCAGAAATTCCCTAATGGAATTTTCCTGGCTCCCAACACTCAACAGAAGTGTTCCTTGTACTGAAGTTTTCCTTTGGCAGTCACCTGCAGAGTCTCAGAACACATGCTCTCTTCTGTCTTGTCTTAGCCACTTTTGACAAGCGCCTCTGAGGGTGAAGTCCCCACCCCAGCACACATATGTATGTCCATTGCTTTCTCCCGTTTCTGTAGCTAGACTGTTTCAAGAGGAGTAAGTGAGTCACATCAAGAATACTTAGGATTACAACTTGAGCTAAGTATGGTGATGTATTGCATGGGCTGAAATACCCTGTCTGCCACATGAACGAGCTGTATCTGAACCAAGTCCCACATGTGCCCTACCTGTCCCACATGCACTTTGAAGGTGAAGCAGAACTAAAGCAAGCAAAACAGCTTCCTGGGAAACGCTGTGAGGCAGGACGCTGTGAGGCAGGTACATACATACATACATACATACATACATACATACATACATACCTACCTACCTACCACCTACCTACCTACCTAGGTGTATATGAGGGCATGGTAACCAGGAAACATTGCGGAAGGGAGGCAGTTTAAGAGCTGAAAGACAGGGAGAAGAGCAGTGAAATCCCACTCTCTGGACAGGACACATGGATCTTACTATACTAGGCCTCCCAGCAGTCAGTCATGGATAGGGAAGGGACTCTATCCCTTAAATCATAGGCTGCTAATAGACTCTAAAGGAACAGCCATTTTAAGTTGTGTAACCACTACTGAATCTACCAGGCTCCAGCAGACAGGTTCAGTACCAAGGCCGCACAGATGGTCCTAATCAAACCAGGGGAACACAGATGAAACAAAACATGGGTGGGGAAAGGGAGCAGTAGGGAAGAAGTGGGAGGGGCCAGGAGATGGAAGGAGATGAGGAAGAGTAGGATGAGAGCACTAAGAATGCATTGCATACTTCTGTAAACTTATAAAGAACACATTTGATTTTTATAAAAGAAAGATAGCACCATCTCACGGTAGTGAGTAGACAATGGCCAAGCTGCAATGCAATTATGTCTTCCTCACTGTGCTGGTAGAGACAAAGATGGTGGATTCTGAGTGGTCACAGTGAAGCTAACACCAACAGAGATGCTGAAGATAAAGAGATGAGCAGATCATGGTGCAGACTAATGAAAGAGAGTGCTGAGTCACTGGCAGGACTCTGAAAACCAAAGGGGAAGGAGAGATTGCTTAAGGACTCAGGAAGACTTTTTAAATGGCAGATTGCCTGGAGAGATGGAAAGATGGCTCAGTGGTTAAGAGCACTGGCTGCTCCTCCAGAGGTCCTGAGTTCAGTTCCCAGCAACCATATGGCCGCTCACAGCCATCTATAATGCAGTCTGATGCCCTCTTCTGGCATGCAAGCTTACTTGCAGATAGAGCACTCATACATAAATATTTTTTTTAAAAATCAGATTTCCCAAGGTCAAGGTAAAACCCCATTGTTAGCATTCACAAGCAAGGAAGCAGATTCCCAAGCTCTGTCATTTTGTAAGACCCCCGGAAAGCTCAGGCTTCCAGGATCTTAGCCCAGGACCGCGGCCACCCCAATAATCACCATGCGGAGTCAAAAGCCTGATGCAAACTGCATGAGGCTTTATTGTTGTTGTTTAACGAGCTAATTCCATGTTAGCTCGGGCCTTCCATCCATCCACCATGGCAGATGGCTAGGAAAGACACCGCAAAGCCACTGCATAGAGATCTTATAGGGCAGTGTAAAGGGAGTGTCTAGGGGTATGCACAGGCTCAGGATTGGTGTGCCTCCATGCTTGGAGGGTTTGCCCTGTGTTGATTGGTGAACTGGTTGTTATGGCCCTTAGGCCCTCCCTGCGTGGTTGCTATGCTCTGCGAGTCATTGCAGTGCACTTGTCTGTAAAGCACACCCAGAGCTGTAAAGCATAGCACCACCAGCTAACTTCTGATTGGTTCCTTGCCACAAGGCAGGCATCTGACTTTCTAGTGACAAAGGCAAGTCAGGCAAGCACGTGTTCAGCTGTTATGGCTGCCAAAAGGAGCAGGCATCTGACCTTAGTGACTAAGACAAGGTCAGACAAATACGCATTCGGCTGTTATGACTGCCGAAATGGGGAGCTGGTCCCTTCAGTTCAAAGGCACACCTGAGGACCTAAGTTAGTCACAGGCCACTAGGAGGTACAAAAATTTAAAAAATAAATAGAAGAAAACAATGTTTAGAAGTATAGGGAAGATATGAAAAGACATAATTTGCTTAAAAAATAAGTAGGTCTGGGCAGTAGCTTAGTAAAGAAAAGCACTTGCCCAGCATGCAAGGCCCTGATGTTGTTCTTTTGCTTAAATTAGAAATTTGAGAGATGGACATGGACTATAGAGAGCACATTAACCAGTTTATTATAGGGCAGGAGAGTGAGAGAGAGAAAGAAATGGAAGAACAGAGTAGGGCAGAGAGTAAAAGAGAAGAGAGAGAGAGGGGTCGACCTCTGGAAAGAGAGAGGAGAACGATGCTGCAGGTTTAAAAGAGGGAGCTAGTGCATGCGCACTGAGTCCTTACGCAGCCCTGTAATGAGTGACGTAGCCATGATGTGGCCACACAACACAGGGCCCTTTAAGCTGCCTAGGTATCTGCCTGAACCTTTCACCTGAGTCTCCTCCCTAGCACTATAACCAAACAAAAGTTACCGCTGTAATCCCAGCACTCCCAAGGCTGAGGCAGAAGGACCACGATTGTGAACACAGCTAGAGAAACAACTGTCTCAGGAAACATACAGCAACAGCAAAATACAATAAACCCACATTCCAAAGAAGCAGCAATTAGACAGCAGAAGCAAGACTTCTGGAGAAACCAGTACAGCTGCTCTTCACTGGGTACCCCATATATAGCTCTTGGAACTTGAATGAAGTATTATCCCATGAAATAAAACATTTTCTAGGGAGAAAAAAACCCACAGTATGGTAGAACAACATGGAGGAACGTGTTGCCAGAGCTCTGGGGAGGGAATTGTGCTTTGACATCAGCAGCTGAGAACCTGAGTTTGGAGCCATAGAGCCATTGCCGCAGAGCTCAAAGGAACCAGCAGGCTCATGTGGTCCTGTGAAGTGTCTTAGATACTGCCCTCTGGTTCCCTGATGGGCTTCATGAACAAATTGCCCAGTTGTGAGGCTTTCCATTAAGGCCTTACAAAACCTAATAACTGCAGACATGGCAGAGTGTGGCATGTGGTGAGAGGGTGTGAAGAAAGGGAGCAGACAGACAGACAGAATTCACTTGTGCAGCAGAGTGACTCCTCTTATTAGCCCAGCCTGGAGGTAACAGTATTTATCCGTTCATGTCACAAGGGCCTCACTCTCATCACCTCTGAGAGGGCCCTGTCCCAGATAACATGTTACAGCAACAGTTCAATTTCAACGTGACCTTAGGAAGAAACCTCCAAAGCATTCCAGGAAGTAGTTCACATGGAATAAGACTCTCCGTTTTAGGAAAAGTGAGAAATGAGTACAAAAGCTAAGAATAAACCAAGTGCCAAAACTCAGAGTAGAATATTATTTGACCATGCAAAAGAATAAAGTTTAGAAACCTTAATCTGCTAGGTGTGGTGGTAGACACCTGGAATCTGCCAGGTGTGGTGGTATACACATGGAATCCCAGCACTTGGGAGGTAGAAAGCAGAAGAGTCCAGAGTTCACAACCAGCCTGTGCTATAGGAGAGCCTGTCTAGAAGAAAAAAAAACAAACAACAAAAAAAAATTAATGTGTGAAAAGAGAACTACTCAAAAAAGATTGCATATTGTATAAGCCTGTTTATATAACATGCCCAGAATTAGGCAAACCCATGGAATCAGAGAGTAAAGGGTCAGAGGATGGGGTGTGGCAGGAAAAGGTGTGGCCCTTTTCCTTGTGGTGAAAGTGCTCTGAAGTTGACAGCACAAGTTAATGTGTTTACTCTGACCGGACATCACACAAAGCACACACAAGTCAGAGCCTCCCAGATGTGCCGCGGATACATACAGCCTTAGGTGTCAGTTACAGTTTTAAAGAAAAATGTGAATCGTGTACCAATAAAGCTCTTGTTATCAAAAGCAGTGGGGCTTTGCTTAGACAGAGCTCTGAGCTGCTGCTGTTTCCTGGGGTTGCAGATACAGCTGGCTGGATCCTTCCCTCCTTTTGCCCATTAGGGTTCACTCATGAGCTCCTTTTGTGTCTTCAGAACAAGGACTCCATAGCCCCTGAGCTGAGGCAGTGGGTCCAGCTGGTTGTCTGGTCCTGTGGAGACCATCTTCCTACTGCGTCTAGACTGGCAGCTGCTGAGGTGCTCACAAGTGCAACGCCCCTGTTCCTCACCAATCCCCGGCCCATTCTTGGTAAGTGTGCTGAGCAGGGAGCCCACTGTACCCAACTCAGCTAACACAGGAAGACACAGATACTCCAGACTAAAAGAAGGGACACAGTCAAAGGCAGCATGTGTGACGCTTTTCCATGTTTCCAGGACATCTGTCCTCTTAGTCATACTCTGACTGTTCACCAGCAGCTGCTTGTCTTCCTTCCCTTCAATCTTGCCACCCAACCCATTCCATACAGACTTTTTCAGAGCACCCATGAGCTTGCTGGTCTTTCCTGTCTATAAATTTGACCCCCTTGCTAGTCCATAATTAAAACTCTCATTTGAGTCAGTGGCACTGTATAACCCAGGAGAACCTCGAACTGAAAAACTCTGTCTTGGCTTCCTGCGTGCTGGGATTACCAGTGTACACCACCACGCTCAGCTGCTGAAGAGCTTTGAGTGGGCTCCCACTGTCTCCAGGCTAAATCTGCACATCCTTTAACATGGCTCACTGGGCTCTTTCTGTTCCACTCTTTGTGTTTTTCTGTTTCATCACCGACCCACCCTACTGCCTCATCATCTGCCACCCCTTCCTCAGGCCTGTTTGTCATCAGCAGGGACCAGCTCTCTGTAAACAAACTCTGCTTGAATGACTTGTTGGCCTTTCAAGAGACAACCCGACCTTCTCCTCTTCCAGGGAGCCAGGTGGGGAAGTGCTCCCTGGGACTCCCGCTGCTGAGGTTAAGAAGGGCCAGGCTGGCTTCCAGGCTGGCTTCCAGGCTCCTGTCTGATGTCCCACTGGGCTGCTGGTTCCCTTCACTACTGAACTGAACTGGGAATCAATCCTGAGATATGAAAGGCGCTATTCCAAAGTCAAACAGATATTCAGCTCTGAGCTGGCTTCTAAACCGGGCTCCTCCCTGCACTGTCACTCCCGTACCTAGAGAGCAGTAACTAGGGAAAAGCTTCGTGCCAATGATGCTGAAGAGAACTGAGTCTGGGGAAAGACTCCAAAGATGAAGAACGTTTGTTTAATGTTTTTATTGTGTTGCTTTGGGGTTTGTTTTGATTTATAAACATAGGGTCATAATTAAAGGAGAACCAGGGACAGAGCCAGGTTGCAGCCCAGACCCTATCCTCCTCTGCATGTAGTCTTATTACAAGTAGGTGCTCACTTCCTGTCACTTCCTGTCACTGGCTGAGTCACTTTACTGCTTTCATACTTGGCCCTCAGAAATCAAGCAGGGGCCCAGCCCCACAAGGAGCTTTCAGTATTGTCATGGTGACAGATTTCCAGGATTGGGGTAAGAATCTGTGAAGTGACCACCTGTGCAGCCTCTGGGGTGGGGGTGGGGGTACGACACAGTTTTCCTTGCTGTGCTTTTACTTCTGTCTTCTAAGTGACATTGCCAGCGACACTCCTGCGGTTACAATTTAATCATGGAACCCAGAGCAATAACTTTCTTTAGGTCAGGCACAGTGGTCTGTGCGTGCAGTCCTAGCTACTGGAGATCTGACCCTGACAAAACTGGCCTAGACAGCACAGTGAAACCCTCTCTCAAGCAGTATGTTTCTTCTTCTGTGCCAAACATTCTCAGTAAGGGCAGTGCCAGCCTGCAGCACATTTTTCTGAACAGCTTTGGTTATTCTGTTGCTTTCACAAGTAAAATTTGTGTAAAACAACCTGGAATTATTGATTGGAATTGAGTCTTGGTTTGTGTTGGCTGCTGGTGCTAGGGATGGCATGAAAGGAACAAGGGAGATGAGAGTAATGGTCAGGGCCACAAGCTCATGAAGAACAGCCACCAACCAGAGCCATGAGGACAGCTTGAAATGGACTAAGGGGACTCTTTTAGAGGGACTCTTTGACAGCACTCACCTGGAATCACAGCCTTTGGGAAATGGAAACAGGAGGATGTCGCAAGTTCTAGGCCATCTAGGGCTACATAGTGAATCTGGGGCAACCTGGGCTGCTAAAAACTCTGTCTCAAAAATTAAAAAGGCATAAAGTCTGCAGGGCAGAGTAAAACTTAAAGCTTGATCTGGGAGAAGTAGAGAATTAAACTCCAGATGGTACTGTTGGCAAAAGGGGTGGGCCCAGCTCAGACTGCTTCCTCCAGAGGCATGCTGGGTGTGCTCTGCCATTGTCCTCCAATGACACCCTCCAGAGGCATGCTGGGTATGCTCTGCCATTGCCCTCCAATGACACCCTCTAGAGGCCCGCACTCACACTGCTTGCTGCCTCTCTCTACCCCTCTAAACTCTGTCCCTGAAAGCCATTGCAATGTTTTCCTGTAGCCACCCAGCTTCATTTGTGACTGCTCATTACCTATATTCTAGATCTCATGGCCCTGGATGCTGTCAGAGCAGATCCTGTCTATCTGTCCGTAGCAGTAACATGGTAACTAATTAGCAGAGCCCTGGCCAAGGGCCAAGGGCAGCAGAATATAGTCCCCAGAGACAGGTAGCATGGGCCCCTTTTCATGGGCCTTCAGAATTGGTAAGTTCTCATAGTCTCCAAAATCACACTAAACTAGTTTCTGCAAAGTACTCCTTGGTTTTTTTGAGATAAGGTCCCACCATGTAGCTCAAGCTGGCCTGGAATCCTCTACATAGGCAAGACTGGGATTACTAGTATGTGCTACCAACCTTCAATCCCACCTCCCACTCCATACAGGGTCTCATTAGGTAGCCCTGGCTGTCCTAAAACTCTATATGTAGACCAGGCTGGCCTTGATCTCACAGAGATCTACCTGCCTTCTTAGTGCTGGGATTAACAGTATGAAAAACATTCTTGTTGCATAAATCATGCCACTGGAGAGAGTTGCCCAGAACCTTGTAGGACAGTCAGCACCTTCTGGAGATTTTGTTTCCAAGCTTTCCCAGCAGGGCTCTCTCTGTTCCAGTGTTGGTCTGACCCTCAGGTCTTCCTAACTTACAATAACACCCCTCCCCCCATAGCTGCTGCTGCTTCATAAATGTCCTCCTCCCGCATTAGGCTGAAGCAGTGTTACAACATGTTTGCCAATGGCATTGTAGATAATGTGACTTTCCTTTGGTTTTCTTCACAGAATTGCAGGACACACTTGCTCTCTGGAAGTGTGTCCTTACCCTTCTGCAGAGTGAGGAACAAGCTGTCAGAGAGGCAGCCACAGAGATCGTGACAGTAGCCATGTCACAAGGAAACACTTGCCAGTCAACAGGTACCTTGTTCTTGGCCTTGCATCTTAACCTTACTACTGCAGGACTAGAATTGACAAACTTACCTGTGAGATGCTATATAGTGAATATTTTAGGTTTTGCCTAACCATTCGGTCTCTTCTCCAACCTTACCATTGTAAGGAAACCTGCCAGAACCATAGGCACATGAGCATAGTTATATTCCAATAAAAGAAACGAAAGTAAGTCACCTCCCAACTTTGATCTGCCAGCTATATTCTGCGGACTCTACTTAGAACCTCCTAGAGAAAGTTGTTTTCAAATATAGAAGTTTATTATACAGTATCCTTTTTCGGTTGCATTGCCATCTGTTTTAAATAAGACCAAGTCTTGGTTATCTTTGTGGTTACATGAGCTAGGACTCAGGGACCCATCATTTTGATTCTACATGATTTTTCATAAAAGTTTTGCCTTTCTGTGCCTTTGTTCCTTATTTTTTCAATCATATCAGCCCAGGAGACAGGAGCAAGGTCTGGATGGGCAGTGCTAAACTCACTCACCCTACAGCCATTACAGCCATTACAGCCCTGGCCTGGGGTCATTTCAGGGTTTGGAAGCAAAGAGGAACTCCTCTCGAGGATAGGACATGGGCTGCTGGCCGTAAGGGATGATGAGCAAGTTAGGATGGAAGGAAGGTCACATACTTGTGGATGAGCTGACCATCTGGGACAGTGACTATTTTTATGGATGTAGAATACTTAGGCCTGGCTTGCAGGAAGGTTTCTGAGCCAGTCACCCTGATGAGAAGCCTGAATGGCATTCTGAGGCAGGAGTCACAACTATGCAAAGAAGTTCTCCCTAATGAGAGGACAGAGCTACCAGTGTCTGTAACTGTATCCCCAGGGCAACGGCTGCTCTCTGAAGCGCTGTACTGGCCTGTGCTTGGGAGGGTTCCTAGAATATTCAAGCTGGAGAAAACTCCCAGCTGTCCTGTGTAGATGCACTTTCCTTTACATGTGGGAAAGGAGCTAGTTTTTACAGTCTTGCAGCTCCAAGGCAGGGTTATCCAGGACCACCCTGACCTCTTAGTGACCAAGAGGGGGCTATGAGTGGTATATAGAGGTGCTCTGCATACCAGTGCCAATCTGCAGACCACCTCCGTGTGAATGGTCCCTGTGGATGATCCGTCCCTTTCCCATTGAAACTTGTCTTTCCTCTTTATTAACATTTATTTGTCTCTGTGTCTTTGCGCATGGCATGGGTGGGTGGGGTGTATGGAGGTTAGCTCCCAGGAGTTGGTGCTCCTTCCACCAACTGGGGATCGACTGAGGTATGCTCTTATCTTTAAATTTGTAGTCTTTGCTCTTCAGTTTTCCAAGTTCATTTATAATACAAATATATTATCATATTCTCTTTCCTTCTACCTTTAATTCATAAGAAGAGATCATTATTTTTATATTGAACCTTTCTGCATCTTAAACTCCTGTATAAGTCCCCTTAAGGAAGCCCACTTACCAAGTTTTGTGTTGCTTCTCTTGATCAATAAAAAGGACTTAAAAGCTGGGTATAGTAGCTTATGCCTGTAATCTCAGCATTTGGGAGGCAGAAGCAGGATTGTTAACAGTTCAAGGCTGCTCTGGCTGACATGGTGAGTTCCAGGTCAACTTGGGCTAAAGAATCAGATTCTATCACAGGGTGGGTGTGTGTGTGTGTGTGTGTGTGTGTGTGTGTGTGTGTGTGTGTGTGTGTGTGTGTGTATGTGTGTGTGTGTGCATATATATGATGTATTAGACAGTTTTAAGACCAGAGAAAAAAACAAGAACTCAAAAACAACTAGGTGGAGTGTAAGTGGACCAGACCCACACAGGAGGGTGAGTGCCCTCCACGGAAGTAGACCACACTGTATTATCATCTGTACAGTAAATTGATGTTGGATTTCTTGGATTTGATAACTGCTCTGTGCTTTTGTAAGAACATATTGTCCTCTTAGGAGATAGGTACTGAAGTATTAAGTAGCCAAGATACAACCCTAACTAACGCCTTAGAGGTTCAGAAGAAAAGCCTGTGTGTGTGTGAATGTAAGAGAGATGGCAGACTTGCTTCTTTCCTGAAAGAACAATCTAGTTTTACAACTGAAAAGACCCAATACAATAAATACTGATAGGTCATCTGGCTGGTTTATTAAGAAATATGGCTTGGGGCCGGAGAGATAGCTCAGCAGTTACGAACACCTGTCAACTCCCAGCATCCATGTGGTAGTTCTAAACCATCCATAACTCTAGCTCCAGGGTACCTGACTCCCCAGTCTGATGTCTGTAGGCATGTACTTGATACACATGTGTGTACACAGACAAAACATTCTGAACACAGAAAATACCCTCCCAAAAATGTCTGGGATGAGGGTGCAGCTCAGGTGGTAGAGTGCTTACCTAGCATACATGAAACCCTGGGTTTGTTCTCTGGTACCACATAAAATGGCCATGGTTACCCTTGTCATCATGAGGTGCAGGCAGGAGGATCAGAGTGGGTGGTCATCCTCAACCCTGTATCAAGTTTGAAAACAGCCTGGAGTACATGGGGGTGGGGCAGGGAGGGGCGGGAGGAAAGATGGTTGGAGTTGGCCTCAGTTGGTAGAGTGTTTACCTAGCATGCACAAAGTCATGGGTTCCTTCACCACCATAAACCAGATATGGTAGCTCATGCTTGTAATCCCACCACTTGGGAGGTGCAGCAGGAGGATCAGAAGTTCAAGGTCATTTTTTAGGCCAACCTGAGTTACCAAAATCTAAGTGGGAGAAATGAATGAATTTAGTTCCTATGGTGGCTTCTTTCCTTTAAATTAGGTTACTATGTCTTGCTGCATCCTTCTTTAGAAATTCATTTTGAATGAATGCTTGTATCCAAGAGAGTCAAATTATTGTAATTCAAAGATATTAGCAACATCACACACTAAGTGGTATGCCACTGCATGGCAGCCCTCATTCAGACCAAGGAGCACTCTTTTACATTTTGTCTCTTCTGCCTGGTTAATGACATGTAGAGACACCATACAGCGTGATTTTCTTTTCTCTTTTCTGTTTTGGTTTGTTCGAGACATGGTCTCATGACTCCCATGCTGGCCTTGAACTCTTGACTTTCCTGCCTCCACCTCCCAAGTGTTTATAAACACTGGTGTGTGCCACCATGCCTGCCTCAGGTTGACTTTCTTAAGCTTTAGTTAGTTTAGTTAACTTGTTCCCAGTCACTTACCCCTAACGAAGCTTGGATTTCATAAAAATACATGACATTTATTTTGCTCCCCAAATCAATACCTATAAATGCCATAATAAAAAAAAGTGTTTGAGTGATGAGACTGTTATTATAAAGAGCCAAGGATGGCAGCACATGCCTATAACCCTAGCATTTGAGACACAGTTGGCAAGAGGACCAGGAGTTCAAAACCAGCCTTGGCTATATAGTGAGTTCAAAGCTAGCCTGGGGTACAGGAGACCTTGTTTCAAAAAACAGAAAAGAAGGGCCTGGAAATGTGGCTCCGAAGTTAAGAGCACATACTGCTCTTACAGAAGACCTGACTTCAGTTCCCAGCACCCATATCAGGCACCTCACATCTGACTAAACTCCAGCTCTGGGGGATCTGACACCCTCTTCTGGCCTCCACGGGCATAGACACTCATGTGTGTGCATGCACACACACAATTGTTTAAAATTAAAGAAGCATGCCGGACGTTGGTGGTGCACACCTTTAATCCCAGCACTCGGGGGGCAGAGGCAGGTGGATCTCTGTGAGTTTGAGACCACCCCAGTCTACAAGAGCTAGTTCCAGGACAGCCTCCAAAGCCATAGAGAAACCCTGTCTCGAAAAACCAAAAAAAAAAAAAAAAAAAAAAAAAAAAAAAAAAAAAAAATTTAAAAAGCAGAACATGGGGCCATGGATGAAGATCAGTTGATAAAATGCTTGCATAGTATACGTGAGGCCCTGGGGTTTGCTCATAGCACCATATAAGCCAGGCATGGTGGCACACACCTGAAGTACTCGGGAGGCAGAGGCAAGAGGGCCAGTAGTTTAAGTTCATCCTATTACATAGGGAGTTCAAGGCCAACCTAAGCTTGAGACCGTGTGTGTGTGTGTGTGTGTGTGTGTGTGTGTGTGTGTGTGTGTGATAAAGTTATTCTCCCTTTTCCTCTAAGGAAAAAAGACATCATGAGCTGTCTATGTCTCTCACTAATAACTGTGAATTGGGTACAGGCAGGGGATCTTTTCTCTCATACCACTCACCAAGGGAAGGCCTGCTTAGGCACTGTGGGGAAATTCAGCATGCATCCTTATTGTTGGGTCTAAGAAGGGTCTTGAAAATACAACTGTCCAAAGGAAGTAACAAATGTTATATAAAGGGGAATAGAATGTTTGACACAAGGAAAAAAACTGAAGCCCAAGCCTGGAGCTGAAGGGGTCCTGGAAGATGGGGGTTGCAAATGGACATCACTAGGCAGCAGCTGGGAAAGGGTGAGAACTGTAGATGAATGGGGGGACTCAGCCCAGACAGTTCTCACAAATGCCATCAGCGGTGATGAGTGGGCAGAAGAGGATTCATTTGTGAGACCTGAGGAACACAAAAGGATTGGAGGCCGCTGCCTTGGCAAGTGGAGAGAAGGAAAACGTGCCATGATTTCAGGGTTCCAAGGATTAGAGGGAGATTCCCGCCTATGCCTCTGGCACTACTACAGAGCGAGTCTGTGAACTACCAGGATCCTCAAAGGCACTCGGGCCACAAGGATTGTGGTAGGGGACAAAGTATCCTTTAGCAGTAGAAACAGGAGGGCAGGGTGGCACCTTACATTCAGTGGAAACAAAATAAAGTGCCTGGGCCTGATTGTTCAAAACATAGTTCAGGTATTGCCAGCCCTGCTACACCTTCACAGGGCTGGCCATTGGTCCATCTGACATGGTCTGGAACTTGTAAAAGGGATAAGCATTAAATCTACTTACTTACAGTGAGCTTATGTGTAGATTTGTAGTAGGAATTGGTTGATGATTCTGAAAGGCCAAAAGAAAATAACTCAGGGTGCTGGGAGAGATGGCTCAGTGGTTAAGAGTACTGACTCTTCCAGTTCAATTACCAGAACCCATATGTCAGCTCACAACCATCTGTAACTTCAAGTTTCAGGTACTCCAATACTCTCTTCTGGCCTCCACAAGGTGCACAGACATACATGCAGGCCAAACACCCATACACATAAAATTAAAATAAAAGGAGAGAGAGCAAGAGTAGGAGAGTGCACAGGAGAGCAAACACACAGAACCCAGTGCTCAGATAGCCCTCCTGGGGATGGGTGTGGTATCCATCATCTTTTGCAGCTGGGTTCTACTGTTAATGCATCACTCCAACTGGGCCACCTGGAAGGTGAAATGCAGTTGCCAGCAGCAGTGCCTGGAGCTCCTTCAGCCTTCACAGGTATAAACTTAAGGGAGGTCCTACAGCAGACACCCCCACCACCACACCCCCGGCCTCTACCTTTCCCTCTGTGCCAGGCCCAGCCTATAAATAGATACAGAAGATATGGCCTGCTTGGGACTTAAGAATAGAGGAATGGGCCGGGCGGTGGTGGCACACATCTTTAATCCCAGCACTCCAGAGGCAGAGACAGGGGGATCTCTGTGAGTTCAAGGCCAGCCAGGGTTACACACGGCTGGATAGATGGCTCCGAAGTTAAGAGCACTGCTTGCTCTTCCAGAGATCCTGAGTTCAATTCCCAGCAACCACATGGTGGCTCACAACCATCTGTATTGAGAACTGGTGCCCTCTTCTGACATGCAGACATACATGCAGGCAGAATTCTGTGTACATAATAAATACAAAAATCTTTTGAAAGAAAGAAAGAGAGAGAGAGAAAGAGAGAGAGAGAGAGAGAGAGAGAGAGAGAGAGAGAGAGAGAGAG